AGCCCCCCAGTGATCTGGGCCTGGCTCCTCGAAGATAGAGATGAGCAGTATGTGGGTGAGTTTGAACCTGCTCAGGATTCACAAAAACCTCTTACCATACCGGATGTCCACGGAGCTGGGTCCAGGACATTTTAGATGTCCTGCCAAAGCCTTGCCCGGGGGCTGTTTTCTCACCTGAAGAGCCCCTGGTGTGTAAGAGGCGCTCAGGAAATACTCACTTAGCTTCCAGCTTTCCTGCATTCAGATGACAGAACCCAGCACTGATTGTGATGTGATGGTTCTGCCCTTTCTTTCCTCCCTCGGTGTAAAGGATCTCGGCAAGTCAGCTAGTTCAGTAGTGAGCATGAGCTGTGAACCTGAGGGTTCCCCGTTATCCTGGGACATAGACAGTTCAGCATATCATGGGGAGTCTATGTGTTTTGTCTGTTCGTGTTCGGGAAGTATGGTTGGAAAAGTCACCGACTGGCTGGCCTCTAAAGGCCCTGGTTCATATAGCAAAGATCTAAGGTTGCTAGAAATGAGAATCGATGGCCAGGGAGTCTCTCTAAGAGGTCACTGGATGGAAGAGTGGTTTTTGTGCCTGAGAAGCAGACAGTAGTGTTCAGGGCAGGGTAAGATGCATGTAAAAATATGAGTGCTGGGAAGAATATTTCACATGGAAGATACTGGCAACAGCAAAAAAATAAAATAAAATAAAAAGCCAACAAAAAAAATCCCATGCCCATGCCCCCAGGACTGTGATTTTACCTGCTGCTTTTCCTCCTGGAGATGCATTTAACAATAAAATCCAGCCACGTCTTCAACAGCTTCCTTACAAGTTACACAGTTCTCCTTGCCTGCCTTGTCTCCCCCCCAGCAGGAGTAAACAGTAGTAACACAAGAGGAACTTGAATGTCATGGCCTGCAGATACCCATTTTCTAGATTAAGATGAATGAGACGGGTTTATAAAGCCTGGATTTTTCTATCCCCCAGAAATCCTCAAGGATGTAATTCCCTTTTGGCATTTAAATATGAGAGTGCACAAAATGACTCTCACCATCAAGAATCCTTTTTGTCAAATACAGGTTTCCCCTGCTATCCAAAAGTAGAGCACCCCTATGAAAGCTTTTGTAAGCCTAAATGGCATAAAGCAAGAGTGTCCCCCACTTTCCAGAAGTTCAAGTTATGCCACTTCCATTTTACAAAAGACCTACATAAACGCAAAACTCCTTTTTGCATGAACGCAAAACTCCTCTTCAGATTTTGTCCGGTTAGTAAAAACAAGTACTACCGATGTGGGTCTTTCATAAAAGTCAAGTGTCATAAAGTGAACTTTCAGAAAGCGGGAGCAAGGGCCCGTATTGGCAAAGGTTCTGGTCTTGGGAACCACGGATATGCAGATGTTCACTGTGGTCCTGCCCTTACTGGCCCCATGTGGAACTTAAACTCTCATGTCCTCATTCAGCTCACGTGGGGAGACTGACCTCAGGAGGAACCTTAGCTTATATAGATGTTGTTGAATGGACTCAGGACCACTGATGGGATCGTAGTGTGTTTGACTCACGATCTTCTCTATTTTTTTAAATTGGAAAAACTCTAAAACCACATTAAAGAAGTGTATAGCATAATCCTCCCTGACACTCAATCTTACTGATTTCCTCCACGTTTAATTGGGGTTGTCTGCTTAGCTCTCCCTGTTTCTTTCTTTCTTTCATTTATTTATTTGTTTATTATTTATTTTACAGAGAAAGATAGAGAGAGCACAAGCCGGGGAGAGAGGCAGAGGGAGAGGGAGAAGCAGGCCCCTCACTGAGCAGGGACCCCCCGCCATGGGACTCCATCCCAGGACCCTGGGATCACTACCCCAGCAGAAGGCAGATGCCCAACCAACTGAGCCACCCAAGAACCCCACTCTCCCTGTTTCTTGAGCATAATTGAAACCCCGGCCTCTACCCTCCATCTGTAGGTTATATCAGAAGTCCAGAAGTATTTTTTTTTTTCATTTAAGTAGGTGTTCCTAGAAATAGCGACGTGCACTTGCATGACCCAGTAACGGAATGCCCTCCTTTTGAAATGGCTCGATGTGTAGCACATATAGACATTTGAGCTCAGTTGTTTTAGCTGTGATTCCCAGCACTCAGAGTGCAGTCCCTCCCCTTTGTAGGTATAATTAAGGTTGCTAACACCCAGCATATACAGATAGCATTTTGTTCAGGAAGAATAGCACATATGCACATCAAAAATGATGCTTCTTCAGGGGAACGTGTGATCATTTCATAGAGCAACAAATTTCAAAGCACAAATCTTGCTTAGTGCCCCCCCTTCCCCTTTCATTCAGACTCCTCTCTTGAAATTACAGTGTATATTACAAGTAAGTGAGAGTGTGACTTTTTATCTGGTTTCACCTATGCCTTAAACGGTGTGCCTTTTTGGCATAGAGTTCATTTATTGCTTCATCTTCCTTTCCTTCCTTCCAAAACCAAACCTTTGCTAAGTATTCTAATTGCTAATTAGAATAATAATAAATATCTTGTCTTCAGGTTACTTTGTCAAGATGATGGCTCTTTGGGATATAATGAACTTCTTTAACTTGGATTTGGCTGTTTTACCTCCCTGTTTCTCAAAGTTTTGAGGACTGTATGCCACCAAAAAATTAACCTTAGCCAAAGAATTATTTAACCAAAAGTTTGTTATAAAATTATACTCTAGAGCAGCGATTCTCAAAATAGGAGTTGGAAGGTTGACCTACTATCTCGAAAGGGATATGGTCTCCATATATCCAAAGCTAAACTGACGCTCTTCTCAAACCTGGCGCCCATGCCCAGTCTTCTATGTTTGGTTAAATGGAACTGCTATTTTTAGACGTCCTTCTCTAGACCCAGTGACCGGCCAGATCCCCTTCATTAACCCTTCCTACTTCTGGTGTCACCCTTCTCCCCATTTCCACTCGCCACTGCCCTCACCCAGGCCCACAGGAGTACATTTTTCTCTAGTCCTTTCCTCTCCATGCCATTCTCCATGCTGCTTGCTCTCTTCTTGTAGATTTCTTTCTGAAGCATTATTCTGATTTTCACTACTTCCCTGCTGGGACCTTAATGTCTCCATTGAGTGGTTCTCACTTCAGCATGCTCCAGAATCCCCTGGAGGGCTTGCTGCACTGCTGGATAACACCCCCAGAGTTTCTGATTCAGTAGATCTGGTGAAGGGCGGGCTCATTTGCTTTCCTTTAGAAGGGCCAGGTGTTCCCCAGACCGTCCTTCGTCCTTCGGGGACCTTGGCTTGAGGACGAGCCTGCACTCCGAAGATTCCAGGCTACTTCTGTCTATTCATTCTGACTTTCTGAGCACTCTTTGCTCCACCAGTGCTCCGTGGAGCCCCTCTGGGGCTGTAAGGATAAGAGTCACTCGGGTTCCTTCGGAAAAAGCTCTGTGTCTTTACTCACCTGATTCCCCTCTGCCCCACTGGCAGCTGTAGGAGTTCTCAGCAGAATACTTGAGAAGGATAGGATTGCTTTTGCAGAGAAACCCCCGAGCGATACCGTGCAAGTGATATCAAGTGTCAGGATGAGAGGCGGAGGAGAGCCCATTCCTAAGCTGACCTGTCTGGGGCTGCCTGTTGCCTCCTGGCCACGCTTGCTAGGTGGAGTGGGCTGGGCTGGACCGATGGGCAGGAGGCTGTTACTTACTGCAGAGTCCACTCCTCTCTACCGGGTGTACTCTTTTCTTAGCTTTTTTCTCTTTCCCGTTTTCTGTCACTCCATCCCTTGCTCCTTTTTCTCCTACCTTAGCCGTGATGCCCTGGCTCTTTTGGGTGGGTGGCTTCCTGGGTTGGACAGGCTTCCAGTGCTTACGGTAAAGCCACAAAATTGCTTCTGAATTTTAATCCGAGTATTTGTCAGAGAAGAGATCCAGGCTAAGCAGGACTCGCATTGTAGTTAGGCCACGTAACAGGGTGTCTGAGTAGTATTCTACATATTTTACGGGACCTATTTTATAGGACCAATTTTGTTTAGCTAAAGATAACCCTGGACGTGGGCACATGGGATCCCCATTTTGCAGACAAGCAAACAGACTCAGAGATTAGGTAATAATAATGCATGATTCTACAGAGCGGAGATTTTCCCACCATTGTGCACACAAAGAATAACTTCTCTGCTTTATTAAGTAGTGTGTTATAATTAATAATCACGTTTGGGATCATGGCTGCAGGTATTAGAAAGTGTCTGCTAAGACAGAGAAGACTGTGATGATGAGTAACATATATCATCGGGTGATATTTATTCCAGAAAATGATTAGTAGCTTTAGATCAAGTGTCAAACACATATTTAGTACATCGTAGATAATGAAAGAGTTTATATAAATGTAAAGCATAGAAAAAAGTCTGGAAGGATCTCATCGAACTGATATGAGACCCAGCCCTTTGCTCCTTCTTCGTGAAGGGTTTCCTCTCTGCTTTCTTCAAACCTCATGCTGGAAACGATGTCTCCCACTTGTGAACGGTCCTTTCTTCTAGTACCAGAAGTTCTTGTAGCCTCATCTGATTTCCCTGGAGAATCAGAAGTTCCTAACAGGTTATATTGCTGTTGACACAAAGATAAAACAGTGGCAGTAATCTCAAAAGGAACATACATAACATGATGGAAGTAAAAGCGAATGGTGTGTCATTTCCATGAGAGCTGATGCAAACTTGAACTCCTGGGCCATTGATGGTGGAGGTCTGAGGATGCTCAAGACATGTGTGTTGGTCACAGGTTTCCAGGCCTCCTGCTCTCTTCCCCTTATCCAGCCAGACCCCTGGGGCCCTCTGACAGCTGTTTGGTCTTAGCCTTGATTCTCTGAAGCCTGCACTTGACCCCAGATGAATGAATTCTCTTAGCAAATCCTGCACTTCCATTCGTTCAACAAATACTGAGCAGCTCCCCCACAGGGGCCCCATGGAGGGCCTGGTGGGCATGCACGTTAGGCTTTTTATTTTAAACATTTTCCTCTAACGTGCTCATGCATCTGTCTCTTTCCACAGGGTAGCGATGGTGCTCGGAGATCCCCGCTACTGGATAGCGATGAGCCCTTGGTGTATTTCTACGATGATGTCAGAACCTTGTATGAAGGCTTCCAGAGGGGCATCCAAGTGTCAAGTAAGCATTTTCTGAACTTGTGTGACTAATGCTTAACAATTTTCATTCGGAACAAACAAGCGGTCTCTCTTGAGGAAGTCCTATTTGCTCTCATCTTCCATCTACTTCCACCTGTTCAAATCCCCCTCCTCCCGTAGCATCTCCCAGAGTGAGCCCCAAAACACACGACCCCTCTTGCTGCTCCCCGGGCAGAGTGGCTTCTATGGTCAAATAGGTTTGCAGCATGTCCTGGGCTTTATGGAGAGTCTCACATACATCGGCTCATTATCGGGCTCTGACATTTCCTGAGGTCAAAAGACAGGTTTAATGGGGCCCAATCCAACATTTTCAGACCAACTTGACCATGAGACCCATATTTTGAGAAATGAACACCGACGTCCCAAGGAAGCAGTGTTCTATGAGACCCTTTGCAAGGGTCAGCTCATGGGACCACGCTTCCATACTAACAGTGGCGTGAGAAACCCGGCCCGCCCTCCGCGGCTCCTGCCTACCTTTCCTGCCTCTCTCCTTGCCAGGCTCCGGGTAGACTCTCCTCAAGTTACGCTGAACTTCTTGCAAAACCTGGACCTCCTCCCCTTTCTCATAACCCCACACCTTTGTGCACTTGTCTTTTTCCTGATCATAAAGCCTCTTCTTTCCCACCTCCAGCCCAGAGTGCTTGCTGTGCGCTTACTAACCCTCTACAGCTCCTGTTGCATTTCTCCCTTTTCTGTAACGCCGCCCTAGTTTGTCGTTTTCATCTCCTACCTCCAGGTGAGGGGCCCCCCCTCCCCCAGCATCTTGTACTTATTTCTGTGATAGCCCCTCCAGGGCACAGAAGCATTCACCTGCTGTTCCGTCCCACTTGCCAGGGCTCCTTGAACAGGGTGGCCGTCTCTTCTCTCGGCACGGGTACACAGCCTAGCACACAGTAGGTGCTCCATTAATGTGTCCTCAGTGATGGAGAGAGTACCCCCTGCTTCCCGCACCCCTTTTTGTGTTTTAGCCTCTTCATTTTGGCTTGTTCCAGGTTACTCCCTAGAAATGGTCTCTGGGATCCATGTTTGTCATTTAAATCTCTTAGTGATTAGCTTTTATTTTTGCTACAACTAACTAGACTATAGTCCCCTGACAGGGACTGCATATGATATGTGCTCAAAAGTGCCCTGTTTTTTACTGGGTCCTGGTAACATTGGATTGCTCTCATGTGTTTTTGACCAGTATTGCCGTAAGAGATTCATTAAGCCCCGTTCTAAAGAGAAAGCAAACTTCTATATTATGAACCTGTTCAAAGTTAGTGTCAGGGTCAGGGTTGGTCTGTGATAGTAAATATCCATATAGCCCCCTCAAAATATTTACATATTAAACACTTCTCTATGTATAGATGTGTATATATGAATATAAAATCTTTACCATTACCACAAAGTCATGTGTAGAAATGTTCTTACGTTTTTCTAGCAGAGAATGAATTCATCCTGGTAGTATGGTGACTTATATTATACTTCCGACTCTCCTCTGACCTCAAGACAGTACCTTTATTTTTTTTGGTCACTTTCTGTACTTAGAAAATGAAAGTCTTATATGAATGTTTCAGAGAAGTTGAAGAAAACAAAGTTCACTCTTCTCAACCTATACTGATTGAAGGAAGCTGCTTTGCAGGTCACTTTTGCCTTCTTTTTTTTCTTTTTGAGAGGAGCTTTTTATTCTAAGGCTTTTTTTTTTTTAAGTATTTTTTTAAAGATTTTACTTATTTATTTGAGAGGGAGAGAGCACCAGCAGGGGGGAGCGGCAGGGAGAGGGAGAAGCAGACTTCCCGCTGAGCAGGGAGCCCGATGCGGGGCTCGATCCCAGGACCCCGGGTTCATGACTTGGGTCAAAGGCAGACGCTTAACTGACTAAGCCACCCAGGCGCCCTTATTCTAAGTTTTAATTTTCCTAGACTACCATAATATTAAGCCTTTATAGGAGAGCAAAAACCAGCATCTAGATAAGGTAGTTGGGAGTTTGTTGAATGACAGGAGAAGCCAGCGTGGAGTTCTTTTTTTTTTTTAAGATTTTATTTATTTATTTGAGAGAGAGAATGAGAGAGAGAGAGCATGAGAGGGGGGGAGGGTCAGAGGGAGAAGCAGACTCCCCGCTGAGTGGGGAGCCCGATGCGGGACTCGATCCCGGGACTCCAGGATCATGACCTGAGCCGAAGGCAGTCGCTCAACCGACTGAGCCACCCAGGCGCCCAGCCAGCGTGGAGTTCTTAAACCTCGTCTTTTCAAACTGTGCACAGGGAGCTGCTTATAAGGTGGAGGCCTCTGCCTGTGAATCCGTGGATTCTCGTCCCTAGCTACACTGCAGTATCCCCTGGGGAGCTTTGAAAAAATACTGAGGCCCAGTCCCCATCCCTGTCCAATTTTATAAAAAATTTGGCTGGGTGATGGACACTGGGGAGGGTATGTGTTGTCATGAGCACTGGGTATTATATAAGACTGATGAATCACAGACCTGTACCCCTGAAAGAAATCATATATGTTAATTGAATTTAAATTAAAAAAAAAGTTTAAAAAATTTTTGGTTAATAGGGCCTGGGTTTGGTATTTTTTTAAGTTCCCACTGTCCTGGAGCTGGGGTCTGCAAACCTTTTCTTTTTTTTATTTATTTATTTTTATTTTTTATTGTGATGTTAATCACCATATATTACATCATTAGTTTTTGATGTAGTGTTCCATGATTCATTGTTTGTGCATAACACCCAGTGCTCCACGCAGAACGTGCCCTCTTTAATACCCATCACCAGGCTAACCCATCCCCCCACCCCCCTCCCCTCTAGAACCCTCAGTTTGTTTTTCAGAGTCCATCATCTCTCATGGTTCGTCTCCCCCTCTGACTTACTCCCCTTCATTCTTCCCCTCCTGCTATCTTCTTCTTTTTCTTTTTTCTTAACATATGTTGCATTATTTGTTTCAGAAGTACAGATCTGTGATTCAACAGTCTTGCACAATTCACAGCGCTCACCATAGCACATACCCTCCCCAATGTCTATCAC